CAGTAGGGAATGAAATCCCCTGAAGATAAATAGTGATGTTTGTAGATGGGACATGCTGTACTACTTTCCTCTTAGCGTCTGATTTAACTTAGAGCATGAATCCCCTTCTCCCTCTTCCTTCACCCAGTTCCTTGTAGGCACTTACGGCATGTGAAGCTGGGAAGTAAACAGTAGATCCCATTGTCACATTTCTTTCACTGAGCTTATTAGTTTTAAACTGGCTGAAACTCTATTTTATTGTAGATTATGGGCATAAACCCTCTGGGCAGAAACCTCACAAATTGAAGTCAGACCTGGTGAGCTTTGTACTCTATGGTGGATCAAGATATGTTGAAACTTGCGTGCCTTTTTTTTAGAAGGCACCGATCAGGATATGAAAACTGTAGCCACAATTTCCGTGGGGTTTTGTTTTTCTAACCTGTTGTTTAATTTTAAAAGACATTGTACCACTGGTTTCTGGAGAAAGGTATGATCCCTCTGCAAATGAAGGAAGCAAGAATGGGAGAGAAGGTTGAGGAGATTAGTCTTGCTCTGTAACATATCCCCACAGTCTTTTTTGTCCCACCTGTCTGTGGATATTCCCAGTATTGCTGGAAATGGTCAAAACTTACTGTGTGGCCTGTCGTGGTTATACTTATAAGATCAGCAAATTAAAACTGGTTTCCAGCTGTGGTTTCTCTTGCTCTTTCCTGCACTGAGCCACCTTTTGAACTTGTGAAAGTAACAGGGATGTGTTTCTAGAATAGGACACTGAAAAACTTTTCTGCAGAGGAACTATGGATGCTTTCTTCACTGCACAATCAGTACTTCAGTTCTGATTTGCCTGGAACAGAGACCCCACATAGCACTGACTTGTTTTTTTATAATGTTTTGTTTTGCTGTTCAGTTTAACCAGTAATGTATCCAGGGTGGAGGTTCTAGTTTTCTTCGCTAATTGATGTGGATGTCTTAAAGTCCTCAAGTAATATTTTTTTTTTCTATTGTCATAATGATTTGATTCTCAACCAAGGAATGACTCGCCCAGCTTTGTGCTCAGGTATGGAGGTGCTGGGAAGGGTTGAGCTGTCAGGAAAATATAAATCTTAAAAAGATTTAAAACAGTGTTTCAGTCCTGTTGGAGATGTTCTGCAGTCTGAAAATCATGAATTTCTGTTTTCTATGCCCAGAATTTGTCCCTCAAGGTCGGCTTGAACTCTGTGGAAACAAGGGGCATCTGTGCCTTTCATGGAATTAGTATCCATGAAATGCTGCCACGTGCAATTGTCTAATCCTGACCTGTTACTTCGGAGAGGAAAGGTGGTGTGTGGTTAAGACACAAGACCTCTAGCTCTGGGAACTCTTGGTTCTGCCATAGGCTTCCTTATGTGACTATAGGGAAGACCTTTCTTCCTGCCCTGCGTGGGAAATGGACTTCTCTCCTCCTGCTTGTTTCATAGGGTCAGGGACTGTCTCCTGGTTTTGCTGTACAGTGCCGAGCTGGAGCTAGGCAGAACAAGGGGATTCCAGCCCAAATGGGCCTGCTGGCATTGGGGGGAGTTATTAGTGTGGTTTATAAGCAAAGCCTGTTTTTACATTCTCTGCTGTTCTGCTGTTGCTCCCTTGGAGTCAGGACTGAAATTGTCAAAGTAGTCTACTGTGACAACAAGCTGCCTCAGTATTTCTTCTGCAGACATGCATCCCACCACTGAATCAGTGAGGTGGTTCACATCAGATCTGACTGTCTTTGAGCGTGGTTGCTCAGTCTGACTTCAGGTTTATCTTCACATTTGTGCCTGGGGCTTGTCTCAGTTGCTGGGACCTTAGGTTTTAACCGTACTCAGTGGTGGTGATGTGGGGAGCCTGTGGGACCACTGCTCCCCTGGTTTTCTGTTGGAGGTGAAGGGGAGAGGGAAGGGGAGGCTGCACATCCATGTTGACAAAAGTATGTGGACAGACTTCTGTCTGATGTGCTTACTCGTCACTGCAGCTGCATTGCTTGTGCCAGCCGGCTTGCCATAGCTGACTGTACCAATGCAGTCAGTCTCAAGCGTGAGAGAAGATGTGTGAGATAAAGCACAGTGGAGCTGACATATTTTGCCTCACATTTTTTGAGTAACTTGATAGTGTATCTGAGCTTTTATGGCAGGAAAATATTGCAGTAGTAGGCCTCTGGTTGTAAAATGTGTTCTTCCACTCCAAATATTTGCATTATTAGGTAAGCGTGGTATTAGCCTTCAAAAGACTTGCCCGTTCCTTTTGTTTTCTATTTTTGGAGGAGTTCTTTTAACTAATGCTCTTGTATTTCCTTAGGCCCTAGTGGGCAAACATTCTTGAAGTAGAATGGCTGTTTTCAAGAGGAAGCCTCTATTAACTTGGTTTTTTCAGGTATCCAGGGAAGGAATTTAGACTGATTGCAGTGATCTGTGCTTTTCTGTGGTTTCATGTGGAATCACTATGCATGCCTCCATGATTGAGGGAGATTGTGTAAGACACTGAGCCACAAATGCTGGAATTAGGACCAGATGTCATGGCAGAGAAAATACATGGTGAGAAAGGCTGGCTATTTGCTTAGGGCACTGCTACAGGACCATGGTGTTGTGATTCAGTCCCCTGGTCTCACCGAGCTTCTGTGTGTGGTCTTGGGCAGACAAGGGTTATGACCAGTAAGAATGGGGTCATGACCAGCTGGCTGGAAACCAAGCATTGTCCCACAACCAGTTTTGGTAATTTTACATTCTGTTCCCTTTGTGTTTTCCTCCAGATGATGATGAAAACTCCTTCAGACATTTGTAGGGGTTTTCTTGGAAGGCAGCTCTGATTTTCAGAAAATTCTAGCGCTGAGAGAGTCTGCAAATGCTTGGCATGACAAAAAGGCAGGGGACAAATGCCCTGTTAACCTAGGCTTGCTAATTACAGCCGTGGAAGACTCTCCATCGTGATTATGAACAGGCCAGCAGGAAGCCCAGTGTAGTCATGTTGCTTTCCTGAAATTAGGTATAGAATATGTCTCCGACCAAGAAAATCCTGCTTCCATGTGGAAAAAAAAAACCCCAACCAACCAAAACCAAAACCCCACCACCAAACCTATAAACATAAAAAAACTAGGCAAACTCAAAAGCAAATCAATCATGAGGAAACAGAAAAGCAGGAGACTTTTAAAAGTTGTGTGGCCCTTTAAGAGGGGCTTGAAAAATACTTTAAATGGGGTCAGAGTAAATGAAAAATCTTGCAAACATCTGATCTGTGCATGCCAGTGTGCCTTCAGCCAGCTACCCCTTTGTCCATCTGAATTTCCAAACTGTTGATGATCTCACCAAAAAATAAACAAGCAGCAGAAGTGTTTAGGGAGTTCAGCGCATGTAGGAAGTGACCAAGAAATCGGGGGGGAGTTGTTCCTCCAGTTGCAGTGAAGCTGTAGCCTCTTGTGGGAAGAAAAGGATGTTTTTGTGTTACTGTAGGAGCCAGCTCTTTTCCCAGCCTTTCCCGAGCCGGGAGAGGGGATAGCAGTTGATTTTGGTGACGGGGTGCAGTGGGACGATTGCATAGTGTGGTCAAAAGCAGTGCATTGCCAAGAGGTTCTGCTGTGGGGGAGAGAGGAGGGTGAGGGAGAAGCTTTCGTCCTGAAGTAACCTCCCTGTCGCCTCAGCAGAGGGGGGTGATTTACTTTTTCGTGTAGAACAAAAAGGCAACAGGGAATTTGTAACTGGATATGTAGACGAGAGAGCAATGACCGTCAGTAACCCCGGCATGCCTCGTGCTGCAAGAGCAGAGCGCATGGCTTCCTCCGTCATTTGCTCCTTGGCCAAGCTCGGGTCCTGGGAAGCAGAAGTGGCACCCGAACCACCAGCCTCCCAGTTATTGCCCATGGCACCCTCAGTGCCCAGTGTGCTTTTTCCTGAGGGTTGGGTTTTCTTGAGGGCATTGCCTGCTGAGCTAAGTAAAAAAAAAACAACCAACCAAAAAAAAAAAAAAACCCACAAAAGGGAGGAAAAATCATGTTCTGTTCCAGCTTTTCCCTATAGGAAGGGGAAGGTACAAATTCCTCATTTTCCACTGTTTGCTGTGGACTGTGGCATCCTCTCCTCTTTCCTAGAGTAGAAGAAGCAGTGTGATACCTAGCTGATTGACTAGGTTTTGCCTGGAAATCTTCACCCCAGTAAATGCTATGAGATCTGTCCTCACAACTTCTCCTGGCATAGCTGCTTTCTTCATCATTGCTTATTTAAGTATAGTAAAGATAGAATTATGTCCTGCTTCTTTAAAAAAAAACCCAAGAAACTCAAATTAACCCAAAACGGTGTGAGGGTCAGTTGCTTAAACTTCAGGTTTGTGACGTTTAATAGTGCACGTGAACTGTAATTTCCATATGGTTCCACTCTGCTGTGACGGACATACAAATCTGTTTTAAAGCCAGGAGTTGAAACATCAATGCTTTCAGAAGGTGAAGCTTTTGGGAAAGAAAATGGAATTAAAAAGAATTTTGCCAAATAGTTAGGATTGCTTACTAGATCTGCGTGCAATTCTGTATCATATGTCTGCATATATCAGACTTTGAAATTTATGGCAGAGTACATCTGCTATTAACACAATTAATTATAGGCTAGTAAATCCCTCAGTGGCCCATGCACCAGCTCAGTCCTGTGTTCATTAACAACACAGGGATTAAGCGCAGCTGAATCTTTGTTCAGGGCTAATGCTGGAGTAGGTTTCACCCAGGATCAGCTTGGTGTGCCTTGCCTCTTTTGTGTGTGTGAGCTGAAGTAATGGTGTTAAAGGGAGGTTTTTTTAAAGGTTCTTCAGTTTATTTTTTTGAGATAAAGACACATCATGGATTGACGTCCCTGAGAGCTGCCAAGTTTCAGAGCACTTTGCCAGCAGCTCCTCTTTTCCCTTTGTGCTATGGTTTTTGTAGTTCCCTCTCCTCCCATTGTCAGCTTTGCTTTTCCTGCACAGAGCTCTCAACATGAGTTTCCTTTTGGCTTTGCCCTCACCAGAATGCCGCTTGTTTTGTCACTTTCCAGACCTGAAACTTCGGGATTTCCTGGTTGACAATGAGACATTTTCAGACTTCCTCCATCATAATGTGCTCATGCCTTCAACTGCAGTAGAGGAGCTACTGGATGCAGAGGTCAATCTCCAGCAGGTAAAGAGCGCTTTCAGCCGCTAATGTAATGCTTGTCTATTGTTTGTTTAACCGTGGTGCTGAGATCCACGGTGTGGGACACCTCTGTGTTAGGTGTTGCTCAAACACGGGGCTAAAGATAACCCCTGCTTCTGTCTTCTCCCTTGCCCTCAATTTACCATATTACTTGGTTGTAAGCTGTAAAAGGACTCTGAGACCCACATGCAAATGTTTGATCTGCATAAGAAAATAGCCTAGTAACCTTCAGGCTAAATTGAATTTCTTCTTGTCTTCTACTTCTTCCCTTTTTTTTTTTTTTTTTACACAAAACATTAATTAGGTTGCTGGTACTGTTTGAACGGTTTTACTTTGGTTAGAAATAAAAATGGGGTGGTGCTTTGGTCACTCAGAATGGACCCGGGCAGAGGTTGTGTGTTGCTCTGCCTTAGCTTCCTGTGTAGCAGCAGGAGGCATGCTTTTTGGTCTGTGGCCAACTCTTCAAGACAGACAGTAAACTTGTGCATTATGTAGTAGTATGTAGATCAGAGTCCTGATTTCAAATGAAACTCCCAGGTACTCCCATAGATGCCTTCCTAAACATAGGCAGCACTGACGGTGGGCTGGAGACCCTGTCTTGGGCTGGTTGTCTGCCATTGTCAAGCTCAGAACATGTTTTTTACTAGGCTGGCTGAATTAGCTCTGCTATCGAAGTCCGAACTGGTTGCTTCAGACTTCGAAGGAAGATTCATGGTTCTCTTTAGGCGGTGCAAAAGGTGATGTGCAGAAGGAGGATGAAATCCATTCTACTTCCCTACTCCAGATCAGATACTTACTTTGAAGTGGAGTTGATTAGTAGTCCTTTCAGAGATTGTTTTCATGTAGTTACAGATGTGGTCCCCCTTCGCACACACTGTCTTGTTCTTCAGTGAATTCCATCAAGCCATGTGTTCTAGTGAAGCTTGATAATTAAACCTACAAATTAATAATATGTTTGACTAAAAAAAGTGGAAAAAACATTTCTTATCCATTTTAGGCTGAAAGTTTTGTTTTGCTTGAAAGTAATTTGTCTGAAAATAATGCTAGAATAAAACAGAATTGTGCCACGGATGGTTCTACAAGGATAACCAGAAGGCCTCAGCAACCACAGTGTAATCATTCTCCCTGAGCTGATGGAAGGGCAGAAAGATTTTCAAAGAGTCACAAAGGTAGCTGAGACCTTATGTTGTGTGACTGCCATATTATATCAGTGGTATATGGCAAAGCTTCCTCCAGTCTCCTTCCATATACGGGAAGGAGAAGAAAGGCTTAGCTTTTATCTATGTAATGTATTTGAAGAGCAGGGAAGTGGTAGTTCTTGCTTGGATGCTTTAAGCTTTGTCCTTGTTCGTGGAATTCTTGTGCGGATTTTGCTAGGACATGTTTAGTCTTAGCAGCGGTTTGTGCTCTGGGATGGCAGGAAGAGCTATCTAAGCAACAGGGCAGTAAGCTGGGGAGGAGAGCAGTGGCCCACCAACTGTTTCTTTGGGCCCTTTTCTAATACAGATAATAACTGAGAGGCAAAGCTCTCTCTTCCTGCAGGATGACTTTATCTGACTCACAAAATGGACCCCTTGAATTTGCTGGAGATCTGACCTCACTGCTGAGCTGCATAGTGACTACAGTATTAGTCTGATAGGCAATAGTTGATTGGTCTCGTGAGTGTGTGTGGGTGGGTCAGCTTCATTCACAGAGTCACACAGAAGGCCTTATTCAGAGTATGCAAACCTCTCACAGCAAACACAGGCTTCTCCTGCAGTCTATTAGTGTCCTGTAGTGGGTCAACAAGCCCAGAAGTTACGATTTGCAAGCAGGTAAAGGAATTGAGATCACCAAGAAGATGGGACTGTTGTTCTCTGGTGTTACTGTAGTGACAGTACTCCAGCATGCCAAGCAGGGTCATGTATCCAGCATACTGAATATGGTGCAAATATGTAAAAATGGCCAAAGCTTTGTCTTGGTGGTCATGTTGGTTTCTGGGGCAGAGTAGTTCAACCTTGTGTTTTTCTGAGAGTGGCAGTTGTGCTCGGAAAGGTGTGGGGTTGAGAAGGGGCCTGAATCAGAGTGAGCAGGCAGCTGTCTAACAAGTCTAGTGTGCTGCTGTTGTCCAGGCAGCTGTAGCATGGCTTGGATGGCAGGAGTAGGTCCTATCCCTGAGAAAAAAGCTGTAGGGGCACATTGAGGTTCTCGGCTGGGGCCACAGTGTGATGTGTTGAATGCCAGTGAGTAAATAGTGATGGCCATGGCTTACGCTGCCTGGAACAAATGTTGTTTCATACACAGGGACAGTCCTAGGAGAGAATGATGTGACCTGTGAGCACAAAACAGTCACCTGTGACTGCTTTCAGACATGTACCTGGCATTTTGAGAGTCCTTAGGGGACTTAACCTGTCATTTGGAATATATTTGCCTGTTGAAGGAGCCATGGCTTCAGATAACTTGCAGAGAATTAGTTTGGTGTGATTGTATGTTTTTAGTTTGTGTGGGGGTAGGCAGGGCCTTTGTTCTAGGGTCACATACTATGGACCTCACTGTGTTTGGAAAGACCAGCTTTTCTTTTCTCCAAAAGAGCTGAAAATCCGGGGAAAAAAGGTGGATAGACACAGGGGATGTTGGAAAGATTTTTTACATTCACTTTTTTGAGCAAACACTGAGACACTGGGAGACACTGGTTTTCTGTATGACCAGCCAGGGAAGCTGCTTTAGCGTGATACCAAGTCTCCTGTCATTCCAGTGCCACAGGAATATCCCTTTTTCAGCATGGCTGTGGTGGTGGTAGTATCTGCTGGCAGAAAATACCGCAACCACTCAGCCTTTTTTATGCGAGAGCTATCACATTTATTCAGCTAAGTGTGCAGCATGGAAACATCCTATTTTTGGTACGTGGATGCAGACTGAAGTTAAAGGTTTACACAAGTGTTGCATTATAAATCTCTCCCCTCTCCTATCAGTTCCATCTGCTTGTTTTCTGAACATAGTGCGCTTCCCCCTCCTCTCTGATTGTTGATGCCCTTTTGATTTGGAAAGACAAGAAAATTTTCAGACTTACCAGTGTGATTCAGGAACTGTTAACTCTTCTGGGATATAGAAGCTGGAAGTTGGGCAATGCACATGAGGTGTTACAAAACAACAGAGAGAAGAAATTAATGGTAAAGCTGTTATTCACTGTGCATTTACAATAAAATTGTTCCCTCTGTCTAGCCCTGAGGCAAACAAAAAATTGTTTCCAACCTAAGACTCTGGATTTTCTTCTATCACCTTTATGAAGTGTGCAACTTTTTGACGTGTACCTGTTTGTTTAGCAAACCTAAATCCTGGAACTGACTTTATTGAAAGAAACTGGGCCAGGAGGTCTGAAAGGGACGGATGATAATTCAGAGAGATTCTGTGTTTCTTTAAAGAATAAGGTGGATTAGGAAACACTGATAAGCAAACCATCACCTGAAGTAAAATACACCTGTGAAAGAAGACTCTAGGATCTTCTCGCTTGTTGCATCCACTAAGATGGTTTTTTTTGTGTATACATTATCTGCCCCAAAACACTGCAAAATGTTTCTCTAGGCAGTTATCACTGAGATACTTCAGAGCTAAGGGAGAAGGTGACCCTCACCCAGAACAGCACAGAAAGTGTGTCTGGCAGATATATCTAAGGAGTTTGGGACATAGATCTTTGCCCTTCACATACATTTGCCAGATGTGTGTGGTCACAAGCCTTGTTTTGTCTCCATGGCTCAGTTCCCAGAAGACTGAAGGTTGGGCAATGCGTGTACCTTTGGTTGGAGCAAATGGCTGCAGTGGAGGACAGGATCACTGCTGCTCTTTATATGTGTGTGGAGAAGTGGGGAGAGACATGCCTTGCTGACGTACTCAGCAGGGAAACCTTTTTTTTTGGAATTGATTTGCTCATGGGTCAGAGGCATGCAGCTTGTAGAGAAAAATGCTCTCTTACCTCTGTCTGGAAATGTTATGAAAGATTAGTTTTGTCTAGGTAATAACTGATGTTGTGCTGTGAATCTTACATGAAGGGAGACTTACATGCTTTCCCCACTTTTCCAGGTCATTGTGTCTGGTTACCGAATGAGACTGAGAGATATCTGCAATAGCTCAACAATGTCTGAATTTCTTAAAATCCAAAATCAGACGATAGCCATAGACTCTGAATCCTTCATTTGCACCTTGCCAAAGGAAAAACTCCATGCAGTGGAACAAGCCTTCCGTGCTAATCTGAATCCTTTGAAGCCCCTTCAGGTGAGTCCACTGGTCCTACCTATGAGAGGCTATTGTTGACACAGTGACATTTACTGGGGTTTTCAGCCTAGGAACTCATCCCTGTATTTCCAGAGTGAGTGGTTCATTGGCAGTAAGGAAGAAGGAAGATGGTCTCTATCACTGGAGCATGAACAACATTGCTTCTCTCTGTCATTCTTACTCATCCTGTTGCAGTGTGATACTTGTGGAGCATAAATGTGTGTGATCCACCATTCAGTTTGTCAAGAGGAAAATATTTATGCTGCATAGTAACAAAGAGGATTTCAGTTGTCCCTGTGTTTTGGTTAGATGTTGTGTCTTCGCTAGGATGAGCCCAGATGTTAGACTGGCCCATGCTTGAGTGCTAAAACCATCACCCTCTGCCCTTACCATGGGGCCGCTGAGTGCAGAACTTTCTAGCCAGTGGAAAGCCACAACGTTTGAGCAGGTTTAATTAATACAAAGAAGAGTCAAGTTTTAAAGCCCTCTTTCAAAGACTGACCAACTGAATGGGTTTTGGAGCAAGAAGTCAACGAACTTCAGGAAAATACAATATTTAGGGTGGCATTGGAGACTGGAGCAGACACAGCTGTTTATCTAGCAGTGATGCTTTTTTACAGGTCCACAATATCGGTAAAATAAAAAGGTTAGTACGGGAAATATCAGTAGAGAGAAGAAGGGACCACAGAACCCACTCTGTTACCCACTAAAACAAACACACTGTTGTCTGCTGTGGAAGAAAGAAACACTTTAGCTGTGTTAGTTTCCATATTTGATGAGCCTTTCAGGACCAAAAGACATGTACCACTTGTTTGGCTTTGTCCCCAGTCAAAGAGGGTCATTATCAAGTACTGGAATCGTTATTACTCTTCTGCACAGTACACAGTGTCAGTTACTTCTCCTCAGCTCATCTTCTGTTTTCCATGTGTCCTCCATCTGCATTTTTTCATCCTGCTGGAAGAGCAAGATAATCATATGTGCTAAGAGATGAGGTAATGGCACTAAAATTGTCCCCATAACAAAGATGGGCTGTTTGAAAAGGAATGGCTATAAGCAGATTGTAGTGTTCAGTTAGATGTATATGCATGCCTTTATGTTATATCATCCAGAGATGCTAGATTTGGGGGACTGAAGGAGATGAAAATAGCCAGCCGTGGTACAACTCAGTATTGGTCTTCTGGGCTCCCTGGAGACTCACTTTTGCTTTTCTAATTTATGGAAGTCTGTACAGCTTAGCTGACAGAAGTGGATACTGAGTGTATCTGTGTTATTACATTTATATGTTTGTTGGTGAAAGAAAGCAGTCATAAGGCACTCTCTGCCACTTGGCAACAGAAAAGTAAATGAAGACATTATGTGCAGTTTTGGGGGACTTCTGAGAAGCTGGCTTACGGTCTTGGCTTCAGAGGAAAAAAAGCTCAAGTAGTTCTAAACCTGCTGTGTGTGTATTATAAAGGTCCACAGTTTTCCCAGAAAAATGTCACAGGCTAGTTTCTAGTTAAGCTGCTGTAATGCATTAGTGAGTGAAATAAAAATCAGCTGGCTTCAATGTGGCCAGGCAAAATGAATACATGAACTCTAGGATAATGACCAACATGCTTGAAACTTGCTGTCTTTAAAGGCTAAGGGCCTTGACCTGCAGTAACGTCTTTGAACAAAGAGGGAACTTTCAATTCATGAACAAAGGAGGCTTTTGACATAGCTCATCATTAAGGGCAGTGTGGATCAAATCCTGGATGAAACTAGCATGCACCGTATCTACTGCAGAGCCTGTAAACCAATGCCAACAGGTTGCCCAGAGATTTATTTTTGATTTTTCTGCTTAATCTCCTTGATGTACTTCAGAGCATGGCATTTCAGCAAGTAAGGGCCCAATCAAATGCAGGTACAACAGCAATTCATAGACATTTTTTTCACTTATGTTTTGGGACCTGGGCTCTACTGGTTGCAGCATTCTGTGATTTCTGGAGAGGCAGCATCTTATTATGATTAGGTGAGTGAAACTGGGGTGAAAAGGATTGGCAACTCTGTGCATGAACTGTGTAAATTCAACACCAAGGGCTTGAATAGTGAAACAGGAGGTTTTGCCACTCAAATATCCAGGCAGTAGGGTAGCTCTAGTTTCTTGAACTGTCTTAATCCAGAAGACTCAGGCTAGCACCCACCTGTTTGTTCCTGCCCCTGTGCATTCCTGTTTGTTGTTCCCTCTGCAAGGTGATGCAGTTAATTACATCACAGAATTGATCCGGATTAAAAGTGACTGACCTGATTATGTGCTTACAAAAACATCTGTGCTGAAACATGAAGGGGAGGGTGCAGGATTGAGAACCCAGTGGTCTGGGCATGTGTGTGGGCTGGGACCCTGACATCAGCACCTGCTTCTGCTGGCTTACCGTGTGTGTGCACTTGCAGCCTGAAGGAAACCGTAAGTGTTGTAGGTAGCTCACAGCAAAACAGTAATTGTTAGCAAATTATGGACAAAGAGCAGATTTAAAAAGGAAATAAGAGTGCGCGCATGGTGAAGCGCATGAGCTCTAAATGTCACAGCACTCTTAAAGAGCTTTTTAACAAGAAAGGCAAAAAATAAACACTGCTCTTTACATAGCTGCTCATCAGTTCTATCCAGAACAGCTTGACCATTCCCAAAGTGCAGTAGTACACTTAAGACAAAGAGGGACATAATCAAAATTTTCCACTAGGATTTCTAGCTCTGCCACTGACCACTTTGTATGACTTCAATTTAGCCTGCTCTGTAGAATGACAAAACATAGCCAAGCACACAGAAGCATGATGGGCAGGTTGAAGTGTGTCTCCTTCTTCTTTCTTATGTAAGAACATAGTTGGGACGGGCTGTTTAGATCAAAACTCAGCAGAATACCTGGGATCTATCACAGAGTGCCAGGGCAGATCAGCAGCTTTCCTTCTTCACTGAGTATTCGCTCCGGAAGCACTGAATGTTCCAAAAAAAATCAAATTCCCTTTTCCAGGACCCATGTCTTCATTTATTCTCTGAAGCATGTTGGCCAACGTTAAGTACTAGGGTGCACGGGACGTCTTGTACAAGCCCCATGTGAACACATCTCTTCCTGCCATTTGCCTTGCACTGAGTGTAGTTTGTGAGACTCCAAGGCAGGTGATGCTGGTTTGAGAACAAGAGCAAAACAGTACCTCTGATTGCATGCACGTGAATTTCCATCTCGGCTTTCTCCCTGTGCTAAACTAGCAGTTGTCCCATGGAGGAACTCCACAGTTTGGGAAAGGTTACAGGCATCCCAGTTAGGAAGAGCAATGGCAGTAAGTCAGAGGTGTTCCACTGGACTGGTGGTGTAGTGGGTGGGAACTGTCTCATATCATACCTGTCTGTGGGACAGCTTTCCTCCTGCTAATCTCCCTGGTCTTGAAAATTATTCTGGGGTAAGGTTAAATGACCAAGGCAATTTAAATTGGTCCTGTGGGATTTCATCTCTGCAGTGCTGCCTAAGAAGGGCTTTGCCACACTCACTTCCAGTGGTTTGGGTCTGCAGTAAGCCATAAATATGTCGTGGCTTGTGTACTGTAGTGGTCCTTGAAGGACTGTGGGTGAGCACATGAAAATCTGATTGTTCTTTCTCCCTTCGTAATAGGGGTGATAGTTTGTCATATGGTTAGCATGAACTAAGCATTGAATAATAAATGCATTCTAGTTGAATAATGGCTTTAGAACAGATTTCTTAATGTAAATACATGCTGCAACTGGACTTCAGGCTTTCCTTGTTCTTTTGAGGGTGTTTTCAGTCAAGCACAATGATACGCTTTTAAGCAGCTGTAGTTTGGGACTTCCACTCCCAGGAAACAAAAGCAGAAGCTTAAGGCATATGACTTTTCTGCAAAGGTCAGTGTAAAGTTTCTGCTAAGATCAGTATAAAGTGGTAATAACTATTTCAAAGCAAACATGGCGGAGTGGTCTCATTAAGCAGAAACTGTTAGCTCTATGATGCAGACAGTGGCTGAATTTTGTTATGACCTCCCAACACTTCAAACACATGCATTCTCCTGCATGTTAAAGAAGCAGAGTTGTCCATCCCTTCCAGCAGGAGCTGACAGGTGGACTTGCTCAAGGCTTGTCTTGACTGTGCAGTCAACTCTAGTCATCTCCAATATTTCATTCTGTTTCAAGTCTTGTAGCATGCACATACAAGCACACAGAATCAGTGCAGTCTGTACCTCAAGAGTGTTACGTTGTTGGCCACCCCAGAAGACAAGTCCTGATGGAGGCATGACTTGCCAGCCACTAACACAGTAGTTGTACAGGGCAGTTCTGTTCAAAGACAGCTAAAACAGTCTTTCCACAGTGTGCCTAGAAAGGACAGGTGATGTTTTGTTGCATTTTGCTGGAAAATGAGTCATTGCCCCTTCTTTCCATGCCCTGCCCCCGACTTCCTTAGCTGCTGCTGGGATCTGGTTTATTAGCACTTCGTAGGCTTTTTTCCTTTAATGAATTCTTTTAAGCCTTTCTCAAACCCACATTAACTTTTGGTACCTTATATACTGCATAGCATCTACAGAATTTCTCTGTTTTTATAATGTTGTGGGTGCAGTAGTTCCTTTGAGGTTTTTTTTAAAGTGATCTTTTCACTGGAAACCCTCTAGTCCTGTATGATGAGGCACAGTGAGCAATCATCCCCTGTTCCCATTTTCCATGCCACTTGCAATTCTACAGATCTCACTCATAATCTTTTATTTGTCATTACAGGTCCCATTGGAAGAACTGTGGTCTATTGTTCTTCCTTCAGAAACCATTCTTATCTTGAATCTTACTTGTGGCCTTCTTCTGTACTTGTTCCTTCAGAGATGGAAGACACAAAATTGCACATAGTACTTGAGAACCAGGATTACACTGTGGATTTATATTGATGTTAATCTGTTTTATCACTGTAATTCTAATATCTCCCTTTCTGAGTGGCTGTAGGTAGTTCAAAGCCATCAAGGGATATTTTGGTAGAACTGCATTCTCCCTATGTACTTTGCAGCACTAAATTTTGTCTGGCACTTTATTACAGTGTGTTAGCATAAGGCTTTTCACTAAACCTTTACAATTGGCTTTTGACTTTTCGTTGTTCTGAACCAGTTAAAACCTTTCCTCAACCACACTATCCCTGAATCACCTCTGAATACAGTGAACAACACAAATCTCTGCAGAGCTTGATGAGGTACATGGAGCTCAGCAAGCGTGTCTGCTGTTACGTATGAACCTAGGACTTTTCTACCTCATCTTGTTGCTGAAGTGGTAGTGCAGCTATGTAGCTTTGATATTTGCTGACTGTATTTCTTTAAATATGTCTTGAAGGCCTTAGCCTGTGGGGTGTTTGAATTCCTTTTCCCTTAGTCCTAATGATGTGTTTTGATTTATCCAAACCTTAAGGTCTGTGTTTAGAAGATATCTGTAGAGATTATAGAGACCCTCCCTGAATTTGCAGCTGGCTTTGGAGCAGGCACTAACTGTGCTTTCAGAAAAGCTATCTAGGTCTTAAGTGCACTGGCAGATCAGTGGAATGATGCCCATTTACACCAGCTGGCACTGACCAGGTGTTATCACCTTCCAGAAAATCAACTAGAACATGTGAAAGCCTCCAGACATTGCTTCCAGAGATTACAGGAGGAAAGATGTGAAAAGAAAAAGTTTCAGATATGCACTAAAAGATATGTGCTAAAATCAAGAGCCTTAGCTGTTCCTCTCTGTGTCACAATGCTGTATCTTTAGTGTGCTTTCAAATGCTGTAACATGAAATTTTAGGAAATTATTTTAATATTCATTCCATCCAAAGAAGGATTTTGTCCATATGTTTCCCATGCAGGATAATCCAGGTATGTGAACAACTCTACAAACCAAACCCCAGGCCCACGGAGTTGTTTTCAGTGTCACTCCCTGCCTAGAGCAGATAGTTTCCTGAAAGCTGTGCCTTCCACTTCTGGAAACCTGTCAGTCTTTCTCTTGTGATGATGGTGTCAGCTGTTTCATGAAAGCTGGTTGTTATAAAATATACCCTTGGTTTCGATAAAAAATGTCAAGGCCTGATGGGAGGACTTGAGTGATGGAGCTGGTGTACACTGCAGCAGTTCTCTGTAACTGAGCTGGTATCCCACTGAAAGCTTGTGTCTACCAACTGGTCTTACCTTCCCTTGCATAGTTTTTTGCATCTGCTTCTTAGCACTGACTTGCAGGATTTCAGGTCTGTCCACATGCTGTCCTGCAGGGTGTACTTGTTCTGTGACCTGGAATGGAAGCCATCCTTTGCACTGTAAGTGTACGTGCGCACATTTAGCATTTTATTGGGATAGTTCTAGCTACGGCATCTACATACTTAACCTGTGATGAAGGAAAGGGATCCCCTGATTGCACTGTGGGATGCTGAAGCCTGAGGTTGCACAGAAAGCCAGCCCTGTCTTCCCCATCAAGCATGTTGCTGTGTAAACAGTCCTTACTACTCTTCTTTACAAAAACATTTACAAGAGTTTAATGTCTTTCTTTGTGCCTTGCAGTGACTTACAGTTCCTTTTTCTCTATTCCTGCAGAGACGAGTTTCTTTCAATTCCTCCTTGCGTGATCTGTCAGAAACTGTGGAAGCTTTGAGAGAGAGCCTTGGGAAGCTTGTTAATGAGGTAAGGAGCGCCTTCATGTCAGAACACATAACCATGGTTGCTGTCTTAGCCTGCAGTTGAGTACAAAAAGCATGAATCTCCTTGGTGCAACTCAAAGCCAAATCCCTAGCTTGTTTTGAAACTTTCCCCCCATCCTGCAGCCATTCTCCCTTTGTCACTAGAGGCAGCATGCACTTTGCAACCCCTTGGCCCTTCAAGTTACAAACACCATAGGAGTTTTATCAGATGTGTGGCTAAAGATTGGGTCCTCATGGGAGGAGCAGGAATTGAGACATTTTCTGTGGGGTTTACCTTCTCAGCAGTGCCACAACTGTTGGGCTTGCAGTATGTCTGCCTAACAGTGCCTTGCAAACTGCATTTGGAGATTTGCCTCCTTTCTGGGGTTTTCACTCAGCTACCAACCGGTGTCAGGGTTGTTACTTGGTTGTATCTGCTGGTCTCTGGGTGTGGTGAGGGTGTAGCACGTGGAAGAGATGTTGTGGCTGTTCTAATCTAAATTAGTAGCTATAGGCTACTGTTAGCTCTTTGTCTAACCAGCTTTGTTGGGGCAGAGATTGTCTTCCAGTCTTTGTGGGGAGCACAGTGCAGTGGCATCACAACACTGGCTGAGAAATGCTCTGGCAAAACATAAATAGCGATTTGCAGAGGCAAAGCAACATTATAAAGACTGCAAGTATTTGTTTTGCTGGAGAAACAATGGATTAAGAAAAAGGCCCTGCATGCCTAGAATGAGTCAGAAGTCAAAAACTGAGGGGGGGTGGTTTTGAGCCAAAAACTTACCTCAGTTGCTTTTTGGCTGGCTCTGACTTTGAAGTGGTGCTACTAGGCAAAAGCATTCTTTGCCTAAATCATAACCATCTAAACTGAACAGTGCAGCTGCCACCTCCTCCTTCTACTGTCTTCCGCCTTTGCATCTGAGCGAGAGAGCCCGGAGGCCTGAACGGCAGTAACCTCTGAGAGCACGCACCAGAGTGGGTCACTGCAGGTTAGCCAGCACTCCACTCCCACGGAGGGGCGGCTGCCGGGAGCCAGCGCTGTGCCTGCCAACAATTCCTGGCACACATCCCTCCCGGAGTCCCACAGCCTGCCGCCGGGTCCCACTTACAGTGAAATTCAGATGATTCCAGGATCAGCTTCATCTGCGGCTACGGCAGAGCTCTTGCTGCTAGCGGGGAGGCTGCCCTTCGGAGTTTGATTACAGCTGTTTCCCGTTACGTCATTTAAGCTTGCCTTTTTTTTTTTTTTTCGTCCGGGATAAAAATAATTGAAACCATGTGATACTCAGTTTGCTGATGTGGCCGAAAGAGTCCCAGGGTAATGTGCCTTTTGCTTGGCAGCTGTTTTGGGTAGGACTACCTTTTATTCTGCCCTATTGCTATGCAAACAAAGGCAGCTTTTTCCTCTTACAGCATGAGCTGCTCCAGATGGCTTGACCGAAAGTTACTTCTTATTGTCTGGCAGGCAGATTTCTGTGTGAAAAGGAGGGACTTGCTCCCTTGTTTCTGAAGGGCACCAGCTTGAGGGGGTGGAGAGAACTATTGTTTGTGCCACGTCTAGGAGCCTTTCTAGCAAGGAATTTTAATTAGAGAATGGGCTGAACAAAGTATCTGTCTCTTCAGTGTGGGGATTGATTGGGTCTGTGCTCCAGGGCTCTTTAAGTCAACCTAGGAGAGCAGATTAAACATTGAGAGCAAGGGCAACTATTAAGAAACACTTGAAGAGCCAGTTCTGATGTCTGGAAGAAGAAATACCTCAGTAACCCTTCACACATAAGGTACTTGCTTCCAGTGGTGTGAACAGAGCAGCTCTGCGTGTCAGTTGTAAAGTTGCTGGTGCCAAAGATGAAACAAAGTTTCTGGCTCAAACTGTGCTAAAATTATGTGTAAAAATGTATTTGGTAATGCAGTCCCCCTGCAAGAATGGTTAACACCCTATACGTTCATGGAAATTAGCTGCACTTCCTATTTATGCACCTTTGCTCGTGTTGGGGAGTTTATGGTGCTTTAGCTAAAGCAGTTGAGTTTTTGCTAAGGAAAAATCAGCTTGTTTACTTAAGGTATAAAGAACTCCCTAAGGGGTGCCATTGAATTGGACACTCAAACTGTCACACCTAGAATGCAGCCTTGGCCTTGTGGGTGAGCAGTCATCAAATACAAAAATCCATGTGAGCAGATGTAATCAATGAAAGCTGTCACGTGAAAGCTGTCACGTGATATTTTTTTCTGTCCGTGTCCCATGATGCTAGTATCCTATCAATCACCCTGAACCTGTGGAGCCAGGTTGAGTGGCAGCAGGGTGCAGACAAAGGCAGCAGTGAGTAGCGAGGGAATGAAAGTGCACTTGAAGCAGTCACTCTGGACACGGGTACTGAATCCCCAGGCTTTAGCTGTTCTCATAGCTGTCTTCCATCATATTAGTATGTTACGTGTTTTCAGGCAGCTAAAAATAGAGGTGCCTTGTGTATATGACACATAGTAGCTGTTGTTTAGCATTAAAGATTTTTGCCCAGATGTTGGCACATCTCAAGCATTCACAATGCTACAGATTAATGCAAAGGGTCAGATTTGTCTCCCACTGTAAGGCCGGAAACTGCTTTCCATGAGTGCGTTTGGATTGAATGGTTCCAGCACGCTGTCGCTTTCTGCATTGTTGCTCGCTGGCTTTGCTGGCTGTCCTAGACTTTGATTATCTGCATTTAAACAAAGGTGACAAAACCCATACACAGTGAGCAAAACCGGCAGATGGTCATTGACTGACCCTGTTATTGTCTCTGAAAACAGGGCACTTGGGCCACAGCATCTAAAGTTGTTTCTGAGATGCAGCTGATGAGCAGTTGCAAATAGGTGTCTCAGCAGCTCTGCTTGCCTTTATTAGTGCATGTTGCTGTTCTGGGTAGCACAGCAAGAATATTTGAGTTAATGACACCAGGTGTTTCAGTAGGAGCCAAGAAATCAGATCAAATAGTAGAAAATATTTTCAAAGCGGTAGAGAACTACCGCTTAAAATGTTACCATGATGCTATATAAAACTGTGGATTGCCCTCATGTTCGATATGGAATACAGATCTAGGCCTTTCCTCTGCAAAAAGGGGTAGCAGAACTGGAAAAAGTTCAGAGAAAGGCAATTAGGGCACTTAGAAGTGCCACGTTTTTCACAAAAGGAACAAGAGACTAGACTGGGACTTGTCAGCTTCGAAAATAAATGAGCTGGGGATATGACAGAGATCTGTACAGTTGGGTAGTCCAGGTAGAGATAGGGATTGAATGTTCACTGTCTCTTCCAGTGCAAAAAACATGGCACCAAATGGAGCTAGCCATAACCAAGTTAAGGAGAATGTAAAGGAGGTTATTTCCAGTGATGTGTTGGCTGTCAAAGACTTGTAGATGTTTGAAACTCCAGGAGTTTACCATGGGAAAAATTCATTGAGGGTTAGGAAATAGAAGTTCCCTGAGCTGAAAATAAGTGGAAACTGGAAGGTTACTTGTGGGGAAGTGTCATACATTCTTGCCCTTGCCTTATTTTTTCTTATCAGGCACTTATTGTCACCATCACAGAGGTTACTGAAATAAACAGACTTCTAGTCTGTATGGACACACCTCTGCTGATGTTCTTAGATCTCCAGACAGGGAGTCTGAGGGCAGTGCTTGAATGTAGCGTGAAACCAGTGTTCATAGAGGTGCATTGTTTTTTGTGTTGTGGTGAGCTTGGCCATGCCTCTGAGCACGACAACATTAATGCAGTGAGTGTCTCAGACTGAGTCCCTGGTGCTTTTGTTCCTAAGTGTTGTAGGTAGATGTTTTTGCCAGAAAAATGAGTCTGGAGGTACCAATCATCCCAGCCAGTTGTAGTTGTCACCTTGAGCCTGGTGTCTGGCTGCTTGTGCAGGAGGAGGCTCCTTGCTGTGGCTGAATGTGTGCACAGCTCATGCTGTGATCAGGCTCCAGGCTGCAGCTGGGCTCGTGTTCAAGGGTTTTCTGGGAATGCTGTTGACAGTGAAGCAGGGACAAGCGATATCAATCTAGGAGGTTAAACTGGCTGCCTGGTGTAGATCAGTGGAGTCTTGCTGACTAGGTGACACTGCTGGGGCCTTTCAGCTCATCCTGCCTGTGTTCCATCAGCTGCAGTGACTGTGTTGTTCCTTACTCCCTCTTCTGACTCAATGCATCCTGCTCCACCCAGCATAAGAGGGCTGTACTGGAATGTAGACCATTATGCAGCTGGAAGAAGTGGCTTCCACGTGAAAGGGAAGGCAGGAATCACCCACAGCACTGCAGGAGAAAAGAGTAAAGAGCTTGTCAAGGACAAGCTCCTTGTGCATGCACAGAATAGAGTTCCCTCAGTGTTCTCCCCCTGTGGCTGTGTGGAATGTGCTTTCCCTAGTCCTTACTGTTGATACTGTATTCAAGGCCATTCTCATCTGTTCAAAAACAATGTGTGACAGTGGCAAGATGTTCTCTATTCTCTAATCCTATTATAATCCCTGCTTCCACTCCCTTTTCCCACCTCTTTCAGTTGCTGAGCATGAAGAGCTGGAGTGACATGAGGCAAGAGGTGATGTTCCTGACCAACGTGAACGCGTCAAACTCCTCCACGGAGATCTACCAGGCTGTGTCACGCATTGTGTGTGGCCACCCTGAAGGTGGAGGTCTGAAAATTAAATCCCTCAACTGGTATGAGGATAACAATTACAAAGCACTGTTTGGAGGCAACAGCACTGAAGACGACGTGACTAACTTCTATGATAACTCCACAAGTAAGTGTAACCCTGGCATGGCCGAAGGCCCCATCTACTTCATGGTTGTCAGCGTTAGTGTTTCCCAAGCTTCCACAGATGAAAGTGGGTGGTTCTGGGTGACAGCATACCTTCTGCTGTTTTAGAAAGGCATGCACATGCCACCTCCTGCACATCCCCTTAAGGCCAGCAAGGATATCAACATGCAGGGGATTCCCAAGGGCCTTGTGTACATTCCACAGAAGGCTGTGTAGTGGACCTTCTTCAGAGGCAGAGGGAGCACAGTCATGTGCAGTCTTTGGAAATCTGTCCTTTTCTGGACAAATATTGCTTGTGTCAGGCAGTGGGGTTGTGGTAGTGGTGCAGAACTAGGGGTGTGACTCTTAATGCTGGAGGCTACCTGTGTGCTCCATATTTGCTGGACAGACTGTGGAGGCTTGGACTGAAAGGGGCTTTTTGTGAAGCTTAGCAGTAGAGGAGTTTTTTTGTTGTCTGACATGACAAATGCTGTTCTGACAGCTGTTACTGTCCTTAAAGGCCACACGAGTGGGGCGTATGCCTCCTGCAGTTGTCACCATGCTGTTCGGCCACTAACCCTTGTTCTCTCTTCCTCAGCACCCTACTGCAATGAGCTGATGAAGAACCTGGAATCCAGTCCGCTTTCCAGGATTATCTGGAGGGCCTTGAAACCCCTGTTGATTGGGAAGATCTTGTACACTCCAGACACACCAGCCATAAGAAAAGTCATGACTGAGGTAACTCTAGCCCTGTCTTCTGATATGTAGAAGGAGGTGTGTCCTCTGGCTGTGCAGCTTAGCTGCTCTGTGTTAAATTGGGCCCAAACACAACCCTAGAAATAATTGCCCGCAGAGCACCAACCTCCCTAGTCACTCACCTCCCATGCGCTTGCTGTTGAAGACTCAAGGAGAAGAGCCCAGGCTGAACTGTTTTTCTAGATTGGCTGGAAGCTTTCCTGGTGATGCCTTTTGGTTATCCACAGGCTTTGCATCTCTGATGTGGGATATGGGAGTGGGGAAGACCTTGATAAGCCTTCAGGTATCCTTCCTCTCCTGCACGGCAGGCTGGTCAGTGGATCCTTAATAATTTCTGATTGTGGTTTACCTGATGTGTTCTCTAATTCCCCAAGCTTCCTCAGCAAGACTCTCCAGCACATGGGGAGGGGCTGCCTCGGTGGGCCCTTCGTCTCCAAGGCAGAGTCATTCTCTACCAAGCCTGGAAAGGCAGTGCTCAGCCACAAGTATCCACACTCCCTGTTGTTGTTTTGCTTCCAAGTAGACTTGATTTTTTTTTTCCCCTTCTCTGGTCCTTGCAGAAGCTGAGCTGCTGTTTGAATATAAGCAACACTCAGTACTTTGCTTGACCCTGTTTTAGCCCGCAGTGGATCTCTGCCAGCTTTTGGAAATAACTTTCCTCTCCTCTTTGCTGACAGGTGAACAGGACGTTCCAGGAGCTGGGTGTGTTTCGTGACCTTGGGGGAATGTGGGAGGAGATAAGCCCGAAGATTTGGACATTTATGGAAAGTAGTCAGGAAATGGATCTCATTCGGGTCAGTAGGCTGTCCTTGCCAAAACCGCCACTGTTGTCTTACGCAATAATACTTATTTTAGATGGGGCTTCAGTGCTGATCTGGTCAGATAAATAGTATGGATGGAACCCCTTCTTGAAACACAGTGTGTTTGTACTAGCCTTGTATTATGCTTGGCATTCTTTTCTTCACGTAACAACCTGCTGCAAACAGGAGCAATGCATGCTTAACACCCGTCTCTGATCTGCCGTTGTGGGGAAATGGGCTGTTTCTTCCACGGTGTTGCTCTCATATGATACGAATATCTGTCTTGGGATGTTTTTGTAAAGTGGAGACCTGTGGGGTTGGTGACATGTTCAGGTCCGTGTGCTGTGCACTTTTCCACAACAGTGCTTTGGTGATAGTAGCAAAGCAAGCAGTCAGATCAGATCCAGGAAGGTGCCAGGTGGCCTCAGGCCACATAGGGTATGGTATGAACTGAATGGTTATCATGCCAGAGCTGAACTTAGATGCCAGGCAGTATTCTGGCACAGATCTTGTAAAATCTTAGTTTGGAGTTGTGTGGTACGCTTTACTTAGTGTAATACTTGGGTGCTTATGGGAGAAGAGGAAACACCACCCTGTGCTGATCGCTTCATAACATGCTATGCATACTAGACCATGAAGAAAGAATTTGGAGTCTTGTTTGGATTTGACATGATTTCTGTGAGCCTGTTGGCTGCGTGGAGCATTGTGCCACGTGTTAGGCCTGCATTACTGGGGCATTATCTGCTTAAGTGGCTTAGTTCACTGTTGCTTCCCTCAGGTGCAGCTCTGAGGGGTGGATCTTCTCGAACCCTGTGCTGATGTCTTTGGAAGCACAGTGATGTAAAACTGCGCTTACGCAATGGAGAAACAGTTGTAGGGTAGCTTTTCCTGCTGTCTCTGCAAGGCAGCTGGTTAGGTGTCATTGTGCAGCTGTAATACAGAGACCTCCCCAGGTGTCTTAAGCCTTGAAGTTCATTCCTGGTTTACCCCAAAGTAGTGCTCTGCTGAACAGTCTCTGACCTGCCCTGTTGCACTTCAGCATCACATACTTGAGGGTCGGAGACATGATTTTCATCACTCCTGTGTCTCCATTGGCTTTATGAAAGTTAATTCTGTAGATGGTGGCTTCAGGGAGGTGAGAGTTGGAGCGACCAAATGTAAATTGAACCATGTGCTGCAGAGTGCATATGGAAAGTTAAGGTTTGGATATTGGTTGGCAGTCACGTACTTTGAAATGTGAATGTGGCTGTATTTTCTTTTTTTTTCTTTCTGTATGTATGTATGTAAAAGGCTATTCTGGTTTTACATCTTACGCTTCTTGCTAATCCCACTGGCCCTGGTAGGTAGGTCTTGATCTTCTCAGCACTTTGGTCTCCTCCTCTGTATTGGAGCAGCGGAAGGGGCTCATTTATTGTCGCTTGTTGCACTTCGCACAAGCAGGAACACTTCAGTACCTAAGCATCTCCCAGGCAGCATCCTATTTAATTTAGAGATGCAGCATGGGTCACTTGTACATGAATAAGCTGAAACATAGAGCTGTCTGTTTGTTGTTGCTTTCAAGGGAGAGCTTGATCCTTTGCTGTTTGTTAGCCACTGAGGCTGCCATGCTGCTGGGTTCACCAGTCATCACCTCCCAGCTTTCTGGATTGTGCAATCTGTTTGGCTTCCTGCTGCAGGGAAGTGCTTGGGTTA